GCCCTCACTCGTCTGAGCAAGCGTTGAGGGCGCAGCGAGAACTTCAAAGCGGATCGCGTCCATGATAAAAAAGAAAAAGCACGTCGAGTGAAAACGCGGCTGTCTTGCTTTTTTTGTCGTCGGCGTTTTCTCGGTGGGCGACGGTCCGATGAACGCCGGTTTTGTGCCGGAGGGGAGATCGTGACAAACTGACAGATTCCGCCCGCCTCCGACCCGGCTACCGTGCCAGCGCGGTTCGGAGCGTGGGCAAACGTGAGCTGCCCGTCGCCGCCGTGGCCGGAAAAGGAGGAGGAGGGCTGCTCCGCCACCTGCTCGTCCCACGCACCGCTGTCTCCCTCTGCCGCGCGCACACACGCCGTCGCATCGAACCGAGCTGGGCGCTTCGTAGGCCGGGCGCTCCGTGCCGTCCCCACCGTGGCCGCCGCACGCCCGTCCGGGAGATCTTTAATTGCTCGTGACGGCAAGCGTGAACATTGGCTTACGGAAAACAAACCGGGAGTTTAGCCGGCTCGGTGGTAGTACATTCACGTGCAGTCGAGAAATATTTTGGGGCGTTTTTTTTGTTGCTGTTGCAGATTTTTATTTAAGTGGAGCAAAGAAAAAACCCAAAAGAAACTTGAGTGTTACCTGTAATTGGGACATAGAGCAAAGAGACGGACAGACAAACAGAAATACATTTAGGTTTGACAGAGAGACAGCCACATGAGATAAACACAGCCATTGAGGACTTACAAACGAATACAAAATCAGACACGTGGCAAATCTGAGAGGCGGAGAGACGCGCGGGTGGACAAGTTCAGGGTGCGGGATGCGTGCGTGGATGCAGGGTGTGTGTGTGTGTGATGCGTGCGTGCGTGCGTGCGTGTGTGCTGCGTGCGTGTGTGCAGGGTGCATGCGGGGTGCGTGTGTGCGGGATGCGTGCGTGGGTGCAGGGTGTGTGTGTGTGTGTGATGCGGGGTGCGTGTGTGCTGCGTGCATGTGTGCAGGGTGTGTGTGTGTGTGATGCGGGGTGCATGTGGGGTGCGTGCGTGTGTGCAGGGTGTGTGCGTGCGTGTGGGGTGCATGCGTGTGTGCTGCGTGCGTGTGTGCAGGGTGTGTGCGTGCGTGTGGGGTGCATGCGTGTGTGCTGCGTGTGTGTGTGCAGGGTGCATGCGGGGTGCGTGCGTGCGTCGCCATGCGCTCAGGGTACCGCTCGCATGGCTCCACAGTTGGACTCGTTCCAGGAGTCGGGTCCCGCATGCCCAGCGCTCCACGGTGCATTTGCTACAATCCCATTACTCTTACTCAGTGTGACCCCGTGTAGAGACGATGTCCATGATTGTATTCCAAACACATTCGAATGTTCTTTTTAGACCGTTGTTGGAGGCTCGTGAGCGCGACAGGAACACACACGGCAGTGCGGGTTGCGTGACGATCCCTCCGCATCGTTTTGGGAATTTGTCGTTTTTTTCCGTTCCCGTAACCGGTTCGCAAATTCCTTTTTTTTGTGTCGCCACAATTTTTTACGGAGTTTAACACGCAGTAGGCTTTCACGACCAATATCATCCATAATACAGGTTAGATCATGTAAATATATAAATGTGTCGTTAAACCCGCCACAACTCCACACAGCCAATTAGTAAGGTTTGTCACGTAAACAGAACGTGCCAATTCGTCACTAGTACAGCAGCACCACCGGGGTGTTGGAGAGCCAAGCCACAACATTTACAATCTGAGCCCGACGTTTTGCCAGTTATTACAACCAGCTTCATCAGGTGTGCTGTACTAGTAACGAATTGGTATGTTCTATTTACGTGACAAACCTTACTAATTGGCTGTGTTGGGTGGTGGCGAGTTTAACGACACATTTATAAATTATTAATTTTTACGGAGTCCGTCGTCTCTATAACGGAAGAGATCGTCCCCGGCTCCAACCCCCCCTCCCCCCTCCCACGTGCGGCACGCGCCCTGCCAAACTGCTGCGGGGTAACAGATGGCACGCAGACCACGGAGTCGCTCGCGATGAGGGACAGCGGCGACGACGGCGGCGGTGGCGGCGGCGACAGAGCGGGGCAGAGGCTGACGGCCCGTTTGGGCGGCGTGCCCGCCGGCGGGCCGCTCGCCAGCCCTCGCCGGCGGCGCTACCGCGTTTGTCGGTAACCGTCAAACAAACCCCCGACGGCGACACAAAGGGCGCCGTGTGCAGCGCCATTTGATCTCCCGCTCCGCCCCGTCCCCACGCAGGGCCCCCCCCGCCCCCCCGACGACGCGTCGCGGACAAGATAATTTTACGCGCCGTGCCCCCAAGCCGCGGTGTCCCCGCTGCCGGCAATCATGAAAGCCGAAACTCCGGCACCGCGGCCCGCCGCGTTCCGCCGGCCCGGCCCGGGAACAAGCGCGCACTGTCGCACGTAACCGGATAGCGGGGTGAGGCCTGGCTCCGGGTTGGGATTCTCGGCGCGGACAGGCAAGACAGCGCCGGCTTTTGTATCGCGCCGCCACCGCCGCTATCGTTCCCGGGCGACTGCGGCCGGCCGGTGCTCTCCGCCTTGTAGCGGCATCAAAGCCCAGCGCCGGAAGGCGATAGCCGGTGCGCTGGCCGCCGCTCGCCAGGATCGGCGGGCGCGACGGCGCGCGAGGACTTGGCCGCTCACCGGCGGGTGCGGCGTTCCGTGGGCGCGGGGAGAGTTAGCCGGGTGGGTGGTTGGGGCGCCGGGACGCGACGGTATCAATGGCGCGCGTTATTCGGCGGGGCCGTCGGGAAGCCCCCTGCTCGCCGGACCTCCGCCCCGCAGCTCCCTGCCCCCTGAGTCCGGGGTTAAGACAGCCCCGCGTCTCCCTCCTCGCTGGCCATGGTCGCCTCTCTCTTGCGAATCGTGCGAGCCCGACTTGCGCTCGCGAGTGAGACTCTACCCTCGTCCCTCGAGTTCTCCCCTCTGGTTGAGCAACTTGAGAGTCTGTCCGTGCGGAGCGTCGTTGTCAGCGCCGCGGCACGGCCGCCTCCTCCCTGTGCCTCTCGCTCCCTGCCGTCCGACTGGAGAAAACACAGACCCGACGTAAGCTTCAGCTTCTTCAATTGGTGCGGTCTCTTTGAGATGCCGTTATATTCTTTTATTTACAGCTCCTTGGTCAATCTGCTGCTGGATGAAAACTTTCCAAATGCCGTGTCATTAGTGAATGCCGGTTGGCCATACTTCTCCGTGCTGGTCAGTACGGTTGATGAAGATGGCGGGGAAGGGGGGTCGGGCAGGGGTCAGGACCGGTTCAGGCATCGCTCGCCACCGATGTAAGCCGTGGCCGGCAACTTTAACGAAGATCGCCGCGGTGACGGTGACGGTTGAAGGCCGCGTTTCTATCAAGCGGCCCTCGCCAACACCGCGCGACACGGGCCTCTAAACCCGGCGTTTTATTGCAACGGTTAAAAATAAATCAAACTAAACTCGCAAATGTGTGAATGCAAATAAATCCTTGGAGTTTTCCGATGCGTTGCGCCGGTGCTCGTGTTAACCGCGCCGCACATTTGCACTGCGGTCGAGCGGCTCTCTGTGCTGGAGGCTCAAGTTGGCTTCTTATCCAAACCAGAACCATAGTGTATGTGCTGCTGGAGCTAGTACTATCCAAACTAGATCCTGAGTATATGTACTGCCGAAGCAAGTACTATCCGAACCAGATCCTTAGTATATGTACTGCCGGAGCAAGTACTATCCGAACCAGATCCTTGTAATATGTACTGCCGGAGCAAATACCAAACCAGATCCGTTTAACACGTAAGCTTTTGCGACCAATATCATCCATAATAGAGGTTATCATCCATACGCGATCTAACCCAAAAAAACACCAGATCATTAGAATATGTGCTGCCAGAGCAAATACTATCCAAACCAGATCCTTACGGCTTGGCCCACTCACGCGCTGGGTCTGGCTTGCGTTGCTGCCGCTTGTTGTTGCAGAGGATTGAATCCGGCAGGCCGCCCCGGTTAATACTGCGGGTGTGTTCACCTTAAGTACCTTGCGCCACCTGCTTTATCCACAGTGGACTTCCCCCGATGTCGTTTTAAATGAGTCAGGCCATTGTGTGCCTGCGTCATGGTTCAAATTTTTCCAAGTTAAAAAAAATCTAAAATCTTGACTCCCGGCCTTGGTTAACAATGAGTGGTGTATGTCTTAACTGGTCTCGGGCCTCCGTTTGTTCGACTCGGCTTTAAACATCCCTGTGAAACCATACGGTTGACCTGTATTTTTGTGCAGGGAAATTTAGTTTTCAGGTCTATACGGCGTACATCCGTTTCAATGTGGGCAACATTTTTTTTTGTCTATTTATTTGTGTTTCTCTCCTGTGATGGATGAATGTTGAGATTTACAAGGGCGCGGGATGCCCAATAAGGTTTGCATTGGTCTGTAATAAGTTAATAAGGTTGACAGGTATGCCTAAATGAGTACTGTGTGCGCTGTGTAAGCATTAGTGCTGGGAAAACAAAGGTGGTCAGGCATGGTGCTGGCCACACCACCCCCCTCAGGTGGTGTGTTGGGGCTTCACGAGTGCTCGCTGCCAGCAACCGTGTTGGCTACACGGGGGGGGGGGGAGCTGTATCCCTCGTGTACCTTCAGCCAAGTTGGAGACTGTCAACCCAGTGCACAAACTAGGCGAGGCGCAGGGTCCGCCTTGGCAGCAGCAGGCCTCGCTGCGTGGCGTTTACAACGGCGGTACGCCCACTCGTCGGGGTCGGGGTCGCGCAGGGAGACGCCGTTGAAGACGACCTCTGGACCCTGTCGCCCGCTGTCTCGGCAGCCGCTGATTGGTACCCGCATCTCATCCTGGAGCTTCACAGCTCTCTCAAAATGGATTAATCTGACCGTGTCTGTATCTGCGTTGTCTGGCAGGTGTCCCAGGCAGATGGGCCGATAGGTGGGCTGGTAGTGGAGCCCTCTAGCAGATGAGAAGCCCCCGTGTCCTGCCACAAAGATCCACGTCTCTCGACCCTCTGAATCCGTCTGACCGCGTCTGCGTTGTCGTCCGGCAGGTGTCCCGGGGGCCGACGGGCCGGCGGGCGCGCTGGCGGACGGCCTGCGCCACCTCGAGGGCGTGGTGGAGGACCGCGTGCGGGAGCGGGCGCGGGCCCGCCGGCACACGGCCAGCGAGGACTACAACGTGGAGGTGCTGCTGGCGGTAGACGACTCGGTGGTGCGCTTCCACGGCAAGGAGCACGTGCAGAACTACCTGCTCACGCTCATGAACATCGTGAGTCCCTCTCCCGCCGCGCCATCGCCATGTTGCGCTTGAACTACGGTGCCCCTCCCTCCCTTCCTCTTCGTGTTTCTTCGCGCGAGGTTTTCGCAGCCGCTTGCGCCGCGTGCCGCGCACTGTCTCCTCTCGGGGTTGCGCCACGCACCGCTCGCGGGCGTCGACTCCCCTCCGCTCCCTCCGAATTCGACTCCTGAAGACGCCCGCGGTAGTGCGCGGAGAAATCTTGCGAGGAGGACTGCTCAACGCGCAGCCTGGCTTGGAAACCCCGCACTTTTGGACGAGGTTCTGCTCCCTTTGCCAGCGGCGCATTCTTCTGATGCGTACGCCACGGCTGGCAACACGCCTTGCGGCTGAAACGGCCCGATCTGGAACTCCAAACTTGGATTTCGAGCGGTCTACGAAACCGCATGTGTCTCTACGATTCCCTTCTTCTTAACCCCATTCCACATCCCAATCCCTCATCTCTTAGAACCCAGGCAGGTGCCTCAGCGGTGGAGCGAGTTCATATCCTTGTTTGGGTTTAAGCTATATATATCTAAAAAAAATGTTAATATTTTTTTTTAGGCCAGGTAAGGCCCACTGAGCTGTATAGCTCTTTCTCAGAAGCAGCCTGGCGATGAAAAACGATAGCTCAACGAAGTGGCTCATCATCACGGTGAAATTTGTAGCAGCGAAATACTCCAAACGCCATGGGGAGAGAGACACGCAAACTCCAAATATACAGCAGGCGTCAGAGGTGGGATTGAACCCACGACTTCCTGTATACTTAGCGAGGTAGTTAACATAAAGCGAGTACCGCTTCGTGTCGAATTCAGCTGTCCGATGGATTGACTCGCCCCCACCCCCTCCCCCACCGCCATAGCAATGTGGAATTTCCACCTCTGCTCTCTTTCCCGCACCTTCACTGTGAACCTGGCGCTGCCCCCCCACCCCCCACCCATCCCCTCCGGGAGCGAGCATGCCGCCAGCCCCGGACACGCACCCCCCCCCCCCACTCCTGCCGTGCTCACTAATGAGGTCCTAGAGTTTCAAACAACACCGGCGTTGTTTGCAAACGAGCGCGATTCCAGCGGGATTCCAGAGTGCGTCCCAGAAAGAGCGGAAATCGTTTGTGTTGCTGCTTCGAATTTGTTGAGGCATGATGGATGCCACCTGAGATGGAAAGTGTCTCGGAGGGGGCAAGCGATCCCCGGTGTACCCCCTTGATGATCCGTGTGGAAACCCCAACAGGATATTATCATAGTCCAATTCGGACCCCCCCCCCCTCGCCACCCCCACCCCTCCCCTATCGACCCCCCGCACCCCCCAATTATGTTCCAATTGTGTTGCCGGCATCGCGTTGCGAGACGAAGACATTCCCGTTTGGGATTCTGCAGCCAGCAGTGCATCACCCTGTGCCAGAGAGCTATGCTGAAAGGTGATGTCGTAGAACTACTTCTGAGGTCACTTCAATGAGGACTTTTTTTTTAATTCACTTTTGGGGGCCACACGTTTCATATGCCCCGCAGAGAGTGTTAACATCTCACCACTGTGGCTATGAGATGTTAACTACCTCGCCTGGTATACAGGAGGTCGTGGGTTCGATCCCGACCCTGACGCCTGCTGCTGTATATTTGGAGTTTGCGTGTCTCTCTTCCCGTGCTCTTGTGGATTTTTCTCTGGATCCTCCGGTTTTTCCCCTCCACATTCAGAATCAACATCACGTGTTTAGAGTATTTTGGCTGCTATAAATTTCCACGTGATGAGCCACTTCGTTGAGCTATCATTTGTGGCCAAGTCGCTTCGGAAAAAGAGTTATATGGCTCAGTAGGCCTTACCTGGTAAAATAAAAATAGTTTAATAATTTTATAGAAATGGGCGAGAAGGTGGACTGGGCTGAGAGCGTAGACTCACCTCACTCGATGATGTGGTTTCATCCAGTCTCACGTTTATTTTGTTTATCCGGCGAGATATTGAGAGACGACGATGAGTCGTTCGTAAGAGTGAGCTGCGCGTCTGAAACCCGGGATGCTGATCCCAGGATCTGCGAGCTCTTAGGAGTCCCCGCCGCGTCATCTCCTGGGTAAATTAGCTTAGGCCATTGTGGTTTGGTGGTGGAACAATTAAAATGCTTTGCCACTGGCTCAGGAGGAGGTTTTCAGTCGCCCAGCTGGAGCGGTTGTAAATTGCTGCCGCGCCGAGACCCGAGCCATTAGAATTGTAATCGTGACAACAACAATAATTTTGATTGAAAGCTTTCGTGACTGCAGGGATTCATATTCTTGGTTCTTTCGGTAAAGTCACGTAGAAGGGAAATAATAAAATAATATAAATATGCATTCCATACGTCGTGAGAATTTTTATTGTTTTATATTTATATTATTTTATTATTTCCCTTCTACGTGACTTTACCGAAAGAACCAAGAATAACAACAATAATCATATTAGTTTATCCAGGGAAACCTCGGTGAGTTTCACGTACGGACGTTTGTGTGCGTGTGTGTGGATCGTGTACGTTTTCTAATGCACATCCCCCAACTCCCCCCTCACATTGCCCCAGATAATCGCGAGCCGCCCCTCGTGCGCGCGCACGTGTTCATGTCTGCGCGTACACAGCGTGTGTGTGTGTGTGCGTTTGTGCGTGTGTGTGCGCGTGTGCACGCGTGTGCGCGTGTGCACGCGTGTGCGCGTGTGCGCGTGTGTGCTCACCGCCGCATGTTCGTTCGTGCCTGTGCGCGTGCGTGCGCCTGCACTTTTGTTTTGGTTAACGAATCATTTGAGAGGAGCCCACAGCACTGCACTCACATCTTCATCGTCGTCATCATCGTTGCCGTCGTCGTCATCATCATCGTCATCATCGTCGTCGACGCATTCCAGAGGCCTCCTTGTCGAAGCAGCAGAGTTTCCATCTCCGTCGCCGCAACTCGGTCCCTCTCTCTCCCCTCCCTCCCTCCTCTCCCCTCTCTCACTGAAACAAAGAGCTAGAGAGACAGAACTTTAATTATGAGCAGGTAAGAGCCTAAATTGGCAGGGGGAGGAGTGGCGGCTCGGTGGTTAGCACACTGCACTTTGCTCCCGGTTTCCCGAGTTCGATTCCCAAGCCGTGCCTCACATCCGTGGCGAGCGACAGCCGGACCGGTGTGTTGCTGCACCCCCTTCGCCAACACGCGCCGACCAGCGTCGTGAAGTACGGCCAAAACAACCCCCGTAACCCTCGGAACGTGCGGGGAGAGGCTTTCATCTAGCAGCAGATTGACTAAGGTCCTGTCAATTGTGACTATGACTCTGCACACCACCTCGTGGGGGAGGTGGGGGGGCGGGGGGGCGGCAGGGAATCCGTTGGGACTTGAGAGTTTGGGATTGTGTTGGCTTGCGGCCGAGTTCTGGGTTCACATCCCGAGTTGGCTGCGATCGGAGGTCAGAGGTCAGCGTTGTGGCTGCCCGCGGCGAGCTGTGGGAGTGATGCTGGTGGGGGGGGGGCGGTTAGCGCGCTGCGCTCCGAACCTGGCGATTATCTGAAACGGTCCTGGGCCTCCCCTAGGTCGACTCAGCCTCAAATGAGCACCCGGTGCGGTGTGTAATCATAGTCACTAGGGAGACAAAAGTGACCGGGCAGGGTGCTGGCCACCCACCCCCTCGTGTGCCGTGCCGGCCTTCATCGGTGCTGCTCGCTAACAGCGCCTGTTAAGGCGAAACGGCGGGGTATCTTTGTACATTCACAGGACAGCGGAGTGTTTGTGCTGCTCTTGGTTCTTGTTTGTGGTTTTCTAGGTCCCGTTCTATTTCCGTCCATGTTTGTCCAGGGCACTTGTTTTGCTGCCCAGTGCTGCACGTCCAAAAAGTAAACAGCAGATTCTTTAATTTGTCCTATCTTCAAAAATAGCTCCTTTGTGTAAATAGAGGCTTTCAGAGTCTGCCCGTGGCGGGCGGTTACCAGCGCTGAGCAGAGCCAGCAGAAGACGGGGCTAGGGGGGCTAGGGGGGCTCACGTGGGCTAGGGGGCTGATGCGGGCTGGAGGGGCACTCAGGCATTGGCATGGTACATTTTGTTCTGGCAGAAAGTTGGGGTGGTCCTGAAATGCCACGTTTTTTAAACAGGGTCCCCCCCCCCCCACCCCCTACATTAACTTAAAGACATTCACTGTATTTCCTCTGCTAATGATCAGTCAAATACAGTACCCGATGTTCTGGCCCTCAAGGTGAGTGGTGGGGCTGGGGAGGAAATCGCTCCCCCCCCCCTTCAACCCCCCTCCCCTCCCCCCATCGCTGCACTTTGGGGGGTTGCCGCCCCCCCGCCTCGCTGCCTTTGCACGGGCGTCCAAAACGTTTCGTGTCCTTGCGCTCGTTCGCCGGTCACGCCGGCGATCCCTGGGAGAACCGGTCCTGGGCCTCCCCTCGGTCGACTCGGCCTCAAATGATTGTCTGGTGCCGTGCGTAAAAACATCGCCACTGGGGAGACAAAGGCGGTCGGGCGAGGTTGCTGGCCACCCAACCCCCCTATCGTGCACTGTGCCGGCCTCGCTAACAGCACTTGCCCCAAAAGCCTGTTAAGGCTGTAAGGGGAATATTTGTCTTGGTCTTGTCCTTGTCTGCCTGTGTGTGTGTGCGCGTCCGTGTCTCGGAGTGCCTGGCACAGCCTCGGTGGTGACGTCATCTCCATTCGGTGCAAGCTGCCTTCTAAGTGCTCCGCTGTGGTGCCGCACGCTCTTAGGAGCAGCTTCTGTGCATTGACGAGCAGCGCAGCGTCATCCCCGACAACACACACTTCCACTGCAGCTCTTAGGATTTATCCAACCGTTACCGTTCACGCGTGGTGGTGGGGGGGTGGGGGCGGTGGTGAAGTACGGTCGTCACGCTGGGGAGGGGGGCGGCGTGGTGGTGCTGAACGGACACACATTTGGTAACGACGCGCGGTTGCGTGCGCGGCCGGAATGCGTTGTGCGTTCCGCGGCACGGAGCCCTCTCGGCCGCTCCGACTCGGGCGCCGGCCAGAGACGCGCGACTGCGGCGCGGCCGTGTCCGTTGCCTGTTTACCGGACGATTGTGAAACTTAGGAAAAATTCTGACCTTGGAATCTCCAGATGAGTTGCGTTTCGGCAGGCGCAGTGGAATGTGGCGTGCGTGTCTGCGCGTCTGTGCGCGCGCTCGCGTGTTTGTGCGCGTTTGTGCGCACATGTGCGCGCTTATGCGCGTGCGTCCGTGCGCGCGTCTGTGCGCGTGTCGTGGCGCAGCGGTCAGAGCGTTGCCCTTCGAACCGGCCGAGACGAGTTTGATTCCCGCTCACGGTCAACATCGGCGGAGAATATCCGAAGCAGCCTTACGAGTACCTGGTTCGGTACGTGAACATCACCGCTGTGGTGACAAAGGTAGCCGGGCATGGTGCTCACCAAACACCCATTCGTGTGCCATGCCGACTTTAATAGGTGCTCGCTAAAAGCACTTGCCCCAACAGTTTGTTATGGCTGTACGGGGGATCTTTGTGTTGGCTCTATGCGTGTGTAGCCAGGCATGTGTGTGTGTGTGCGCTCGTATGTGTGTGTGTGCGCGTGTGTTTTACTTTTCGAAGGCAATTTGCCCAGGACTCAGACAGCACTAAATCGAATGCTGCCTCTCGCAAACATCCCACGGACCAGCGCTAATAGCGTTCCCGAATTCCTGCGAGCAATTTAAACTCCCATTCCGCCGTCACGGCAATTGTTTCCGATGTCCAACAAAGAGGGAAAAATGGGTGAATGCAAATAAACGTGTGTAAAATTTACATTTAAACACAAAAAATGTTTTTACTTGGTAAAAAATATATATAAAAACCCAGTGTGTGATGGCCGTCTGGCCTCACGTCGATGTGTAGAGATCCGTGTGAGTGCGCTTCATTGCGATAATGTAACGAGAGTCGCTTATAAACTACTAAAACTATTTTTTTTTTATTTTACTAGGTAAGGCCCCACTGAGCCGTATAGCTCTTTTTCAGAAGCGACTTGGCCGTCACAAATGATAACTCAACGGAAGTGGCTTATCGCAAGGAATTTTATAGCAGCAAAAACTCTAAACGCGTGATGTTGATTCTAAATGTGGGGGGAAAACCCGGGGGATCCGGGAGAAAAATCCATGCGATCACGGGGAGAGAGAGAAACGCAAACTCCAAATATACAGCAGCAGGCGTCAGGGTAGGGATCGAACCCCCGACCTCCTGTATACCAGGCGAGGTAGTTAACATCTCATAGCCACCGTGATGATGATGAGAGAGACATGCAAACTCCAAATATACAGCAGCAGGCGTCAGGGTAGGGATCGAACCCCCGACCTCCTGCGTACCAGGCGAGGTAATTAACATCTCGACCACTTCACCCAGGGGAGGCACGCTGGAGGATGCTGCTGCTGCGGTGGGACATGTTTGGCCAGCGACATTTACGTTCATTACATGTTTTCTTTGCTGTGGTAGAAAACGAGAGACACCCGGAGGAGAAAAAAACTAAAATCCAATGCTGGACAGGATGGGGGAGAAACGTGCAAACTCCACGCAGAAAGGTGCCTGGATCAGGATGAGAACCCAGGCGCTTGTTGCTGCGAGGGGCACGGTGCTGCCCCGTGGAGGGAGCCGCGCTCCGCCTTCAAGATGGAATAACTGTCTTGAGAGGCTTCCCAGACCCAAGACCGGCAGCTTGGGCCCTGCCCCGACTCAAGTTTCCTGGCATTTTTCTATAAACGCCCATTAAACATTTTACTGCAAAATTCCCGCCAAAAAATGCGGTATCATTAGCTGGGGGGGGGGGGGGGGGGGGGGGCACGGGTCCTTCTGGTTTTCTGTGGCAGGCCTCCATGGGCCAGCCCCACGTTTCCGTAGCGACACCTCCTTCAAAAATGTTATCTTTGCGTTTTTCTCTGCAAGTAGAATTTTTAAAAATTCCTCCGTCAAAAGGTTGCATGGGAAGTATCCAACGAGGGGGGGGGGGGTAGGAAGGTTACGAATTCAGTGGGGGGGAGGGGGTCGGGGGGCGGCCAGTGCTCCCAGTTTTTCCACATCGCTGCACAACTAGCAAAGGGGCTAAGGCCTGAGAAGGGTATTGAGGGCAAGTCGAGACCTGGGGCCGACCCGTGTGCGATTCGTCACGATCGTACTTTGGGGGAAGGGTTCAAGTGTGGGTGCGAAGGTCGGTCACTGACAGATGTCACCACAAAATATTGGTCTCGCCATTTTCCCCCCTTCCGCCATATTCGACGTAAGCTGCCTTCACGCCGACAGACACAAGCCCCAAGCGCACGTCAGATGACATTCCCTCGCGTGGCGGTGTCCATAAACTCGTGCTGGAGCCCCGCAGGCAGAACGGCGTCCAACTCGTGCCCTGCTGTGACCCTGTTGTAGCGCGCGTTAGCGACGACGACTTTCTACTCGGGGAAGCCCCGCGGAGTCTTCGGGGCTCCTTCCCTGGGGGGTCACCTGCTGCATCGGGAAGCATTGGCCAATTTATTTTTTAACGATAATACAGCAAATATAAATGTGTCGTTAAACCCGGCACCAACCGACACAGCCAATTAGTAAGGTTTGTCACGTAAATGCCTGATGATGCTGGATGCAATTACCAGCGAAACGTCGTACTCAAATTGTAAATGTTGTGGCTTCAACACACCGGTGGGCTAAAGCAGTGAACTATTTGTCTTTTGTCAACGTGACACTTTTTTATTGATTGGCCGTGTCGGGTGGTGGAGGGTTACGACACATTTATAAATAACGCGATCTCAACCCAAAAACGTTGATTATGAATAAATATAACATGTCAGCGTTCGTTACGTGTACAGCAATTCGTTACTGGTGCTGCTGTACTAGTAACGAATTGGCACGTTGTTTACGTGACAAACCTTACTAATTGGCCGTGTCGGTTGGTGCCGGGTTTAACGACACACATTTATATATTTACGCGATCTTACCCAACAAAAACCTCTTATGGATAATATTGGCCGCGAAAGCTTGCTACGCGTTAAACGTCTTTAACGAGTTTGGCCTCGCGCGAGAGAGAGGGCACCGGCGAGCACGGAGAACACCTCAGCACGCGCACGAGGGGACAACGCCCAGAGGGCCATACTCGCTGTGCCATCTCCTGGCAGCCTCGCAGCTTTTGAGAGTTTTACCGATCCCTCCGTGATCCACCAAACCTTCACCTCCACGCCCAGCAGCGACACCACTGGGGAGGAACTCCCCCCCCCCCCCCCCCCGCTGGCCTCTGCCGATGAGACTGAGCTTCACGCAACTGAGTGAACGGGGGATGGCTTTGGGAAGGGCTTCGTCCACCAGCTGATAGATGGTAGCTCCTTACGACGACGGTGATGATGGCGATCAGAAAACATCGTTGTGTTTGATGCCCGTGTGGCGAAGGCATCAGTATTCGTGTTGATGGGCGGTGTTCATGTTGATCGTAGTGAAGGGATCAGTATTCGTGTTGATCGTAGTGAAGGGATCGGTATTGGTGCTGATCGTCAGACCGATTACTCGATACCAGTCTGCCGCTCCTCCCCCACCTGGCGATCGGCTCGCGGCCTCACAAACCGCGGAGTCTCGCGTCGCCACTCGCACAACGTTCCCCGCTTGTCGCTGTCAACTGGCACTGCCTGACGCCACCATCACCGCCACCGCCACCACCAACACCACTGCCGCGTTGTGGTTCTGTGCGCCAGTAGCGGCGCGCTGCGGTGCGCGAGGAGGTGACGTGTGTGTGGTGGTGGGGGTGGCGATGTGTTCCCTTGTGGGGTCACCGTGACCCCATTGCTGCAACGTGCACGGACCCGTCATTTTGTGTCCGTACGTGTACCGTGTGCGAAGGGTTCATGTGCGACCCCGCCAACCGCTGGAGGCGCTGCATTCGCCCCGAGGTCAATTCTCGAATCGAATCGTCACTCCTTTGCATTGCCACTTTTGCCGTTTTTGTAGCCCGGTGAGCGAGCGGGTGAGTGAATGAACGAGTGAATGAGCGGGTGAGCAGGTGAGTGATTGAGCGGGTGAGTGAGTGAACGGGTGAATGAGTGGGTGAGTGAATGAGCGGGTGAGTGAATGAGCGGATGAGTGAGTGAACGAGTGAATGAGCGGGTGAACGGGTGAGCAGGTGAGTGAATGAGCGGGTGAGTAGGTGAGTGAATGAGCGGGTGAGTAAGTGAACGAGTGAATGAGCGGATTGGCGGGTGAGTGAATGAGCGGGTGAGTGAGTGAACGAGTGAACGAGTGAATGAGCGGGTTGGCGGGTGGGCGAGTGGGACCTGTGACGAGCTCCGTGCGCGACCGTGCGTCCGCAGGTGAACGAGATCTACCACGACGAATCGCTGGGGGCGCACATCAACGTCGTGCTCGTCAGGATGGTGATGCTGGGCTACCGGCAGGTAAGGCGCCGCCACACCCTCGTCGTCGTCGTCACCATTGGTCATATTGTCGTCATCATCCTTCTCATGTAATGTTCATCAACAGCAGCAACAGCAGCATCGGCTATGACAATCAGCAGCTACGTAATCATATCATCACACTGTCGTCATATACATAACATTGCACGGTGTAATGGCCTTTTGCTAAGGGAATGGATATATACGGAGGCAATCCCAGCCCTGAACTCGCCCGGTATTTTGAGGACACAACAGACGATAGAAACCAAGAGTTGACGTTTGTAAACACGTTGGGATTGCCTCCGTAAACACGTTGGGATTGCCTCCGTAAACACGTTGGCGCGTGCGTCACCTGGCTTCCCGGACGCGCGGCAAATGAGGCGTTCCCTCTCCGGGGACACGGCGAGGACGGGCGCGGAACGTCCACGCTGCCGCGTGGTGCCCCCCCCATACGCACGGCCGCCCATCCTGACTGTCCCCCCATCCCCCCCATCCCCCCCAAATCCTCATCGTCCTCCGTGCAGTCGATCAGCCTGATCGAGCGCGGGAACCCGGCGCGGAGCCTGGAGCAGGTGTGCCGCTGGGCGTATGGGCAGCAGCGTGCGGACGTGGAGCACGCGGAGCACCACGACCACGCCATCTTCCTCACCCGCCAGGACTTCGGTCCGGCAGGTATGCAAGGTAAGGTATCATTCTCAGTCCGGTACCGCTGCAGCGCAAAGCACCGTGCAACCACGACAATGACACCGCCCTCCCCCGCGGGGCCTCTCGCTCGGGCTCCGTGCCCTCCTCTTCCTCCGCCATACTCCTGGCCAACCTCGGCTTTGCCAGGGCCGACCGTCGCTTGCCGATGGGGCGGCGAGCTCGTCGTGAGGGCGCCGCGCGGCGTCGCGGCTCGCGGCGGCGCGCTTTTCCAACCGGGGGGCCGGAAGCCAAGCGTCGTTCGCGGCTGGGACCAGCAAGCCGGCCGTCAAGCCTTTGGGAGCGGCGACGAAGGCCGATTTCCCCCCCGAGCGAATGGAGCTCCCGGGGGGGCGGGATGAGGGGACGGGGGGGCATCGCCCGGTAACCTAGCCGCTGGCAGGAGCGACGATGCAAGCAGCTCCGCTCAATGGGTGGCGTCGCTCGTAAAATCGGATCCCGCCGCGCCGGGCGTGGGAGCCGCGGCGCCGCCGTGAGGGTGGAGCCTGAGGGGGAGGGGGAGGGGGGGGGAAGGGGGAAGAGTCCCGAGTGGCCGAGGGGCTCGGAGGGCCCGGGTCCCGTCGCGGCCGTCGTCCGTTTGAGGAGGTGCGCTGCTCCGACGCCGTGCCGCAGCCTGGGATTGCGTAACCGCAGCGTGCCGAACCCCGCCGCCGATTGGCTTGTCACGATCGGTGGTCACGGTTCGATTCGAAAATCGATTACATTTTCAATTATCGTTTGTACCATCTCGTTTGTGCCATCCGCCCCGTGTGTGTGGTGCGTCTCGCTGGTGCCTGAATGAGCGTGCCGCACGATCTGTCTGTCTGTGCGAGTGCTCCCCATGTCCATCTCCCTCGTGAACGTGTGTCGCCTAAGTAATTTGTATTTAATTTTGCATATGGTTTGCATATATGGATACAAAACAATTCTCGAATCGAATTGCGACTCTGTAAGGATTGATTCTCGCAGCGCGAGTCGTTGGCACGTGAGAATCGACTATCTCGACGGCCAGGCGCTCCCGGTGTGAGCGGCGGTGGCGGGAAGGGCGACGCCCTTTACGTTGGAAGGTCACGCGCAGAACGTCACCGACGAGACGCCGCACGGTTATAACCCGTCCCCCGGGCTTTTACGATGAATTTCCCGCGTCCGCTGCTTCTTTCTCACGGCCCCGTTTTGCAGCAAGCGTGCCCTCTCCGCTGCTCTCCGCTACACAGTGCTTTGCTACAAATTAACACCGCACGATATTTCAAACGTCAATCCTCCCGTCTCACTAACAGATTTAACAGCGCAGCCATCTCCCCGTCGGCCGCTGTGCCCCTCCTACTCTGTCTTTGGGAAAAGAGTGGAAAAGCAAAACGTACACGTGTCGCGTACGTCTTGCCATGCAGCCACCTTGCCACTCCCCTGCTGGACAAGGGCCTCCCGTCGCCGTGCGGGTCACGGGGGTCAATTGACCGTCGTTCTCACCAAGAAAACGGGCTTCACGTTACCGAACCTCGGTCCAAACATGTTACCGGCCAGGAGGCTCGGTGGCAGAGCGAGCGGCTCGCAATCGGAAGGTTGCGAGTTCAACCCCTGGTTGGCGGCCGGACGAGGGACCGATGATATTAGTGTGGAGAAGTCGACGGTGGTCGTCCTATGCGTTTAATCGCCCCCGCCATAGGAACGTGGAATTCCCACCACTGGCCCACGAGCAGCGGCTGGAGGCTCATCGCTGCGAGAGAGCACTGGGTAGCACCGGTGTGCCGAGGACGGAAATCCTTCCCGTTCTCCGTTTCCGTTGCTTCCCAGCCATCCTAAGCAGCAGACACGGGCCCAGCCGGCACCCACGGCCCGCTGGGACCGAGCCGGGAGCTGCCCCCCTCGGCGGGCGGGGGGTGGCCCGTCTCTTTAACTCGACGCACACGGCTCCTCTAGCCACTGCACGGTGCTGGAATGAGAATGCTGCCTTTGGGCTGTCTATGCCCCCCCATACCCCCCCCCCGTGTTTTCGTTACCCTGTGGATCTCATTTCGCCTTCACCCGAACGCTCGCCCAACCCCAACCGCGTGATCCGCGGGTCTTCTGTGCACACTCCCTCCGCCGCTCCCTCCTTTCTCCCCCAATGCGCGCATGTGCAAAGTGCCGCCCCTGGTGCTGTCGACGAATGTTTTGTTGATGCGATGCAATCGCCGCTACTGGAAGTGAGAACGCTTTGGGCGAATGCGGTGCGGCTTCGTGAACGCGGACGTGCCGGGTCCGGTTCGGATATCGCTCACCACCGCCGTTGACCGTGACCGGGAATTGAACCCAGGTGGCCCGGGTACGTGGTATAGTGCGCTAACCGCTGCGCCACCACTCCACCCCCATGTAATAGCAATACCCTCTGAACCAAGGAAACACCTGCATTGGGAACGTTTGGCCAATTCCCGTATCGAGCGTTTGGCTTGCGATGCATTTCCGCGCGGAACTCCCCCGCGGATCGTCGCGTACCGCCGTGTGCGAGAGAGCGGCCGCAACCGCTTGTGACGACGTTGCTTGCACAGAATCTGTCCGCGTTCACGTCGGTGGGCGGACTTCCGCTCTTCCCTGCGCTTGTCATCAAAACAAAACAGTTCCCACGTTACCGCGACGTTGTCCTTTTTAAGACGTAGGCTTTCGCGAACAATATCATCCATGATACAAGTTTTTTTTTTGGGTTAGATCGCGTAAATATATAAATGTGTCGTTAAACCCGCCACCACCCGACACAGCCAATTAGTGAGGTTTGTGTCACGTAAACAGAACATTATAATTCGTTACTAGTACAGCACACCGGTTTGTTGGAGAGCCAAGCCACAACATTTACAATCTGAGTACGACGTTTCGCCAGTAATTGCAACCGGCGTCATCAGGCGACAGCCGTGGCCCGGACCGAGACTGTGAGCTTGTGGCGCCGCTTGCGAACGCGGATCAATCGTCGCCACGCTCAGTGTGCGTCGCCACGCTCGGCAGCGCCCGTGCGCGATGCCCACGTCCCGGCCGCAAACGCCGGGCGATCGCGATGATGGTCGGAGCAGAGGCCGAGACGTTGAAATTTAGACGTGCGCCGAAAAACGCCGCGCGATTGAAAACGCCGGGCGAGGGCCTCACCGGGCGGGAGCCAGAGGCGTCGTCCCCCGTCCCGAATCTGTATTTTATTAATTGTACGATCGGTGCCGGCGTTAGGAAAACAGATCGGAGCCATAAAATAGATTGAGGCTTTCCAGTCCCCCTTCCTGAGACTCGGGGAATTCTCACAGGGCGCGCTCACGCGGCCGGCTTTGGCCGCGGATCACACCGCACGTGGCGCGACCGAGACGAGTTATTGCAAAAATGCGGGGGCCGTCAAAACACCGGCAAGCCGGCCCGCCTGCCTGCCCCGTGTCTGACCAAAAATGGCAATCGATCGTAGAGGAAAAAGCATAACGAGTGTCGCTTTACGAGTGCCGTCCCGTGTGCCTTGGTGGCTCAGGGGTTGGTCCAAGCGGTCGGAAACGCGAGCCGGGCCGGTGGTGGTGGTGGCGTTGCCACCCACCTGGAGGTGGGCTCGCCGATTGTTTGAGTAACCGGTTCACTCCGCCGATTATAGAGGTTCAATAACTCGACCAATCGGACGACACGTAAAAGTTTGGGGGGTCCAGTGTCTCGCCTAGTGTCTCGCCTAGCATCGCCCGCCCCGTCTCGCCAGGGCGTGGCGGCTTTCAGGGGGTCTTCCCATCGTCGGGAGGCATGACGTGGGGGCGGGCCACCATTTTTTACAGGGCACGAGCAATCGATGATTTCCAATCAATTGAATCGTGCGCACGCCGTCCAGGGCTCGACGCCACCCCAACAACCCCGACCACCGGAGGGGTCCTCATTGGGCCCCGGCGCCTGCCCCGTGGCTTCCCCCGATCCCATGTGCCGTGCCGATGAGCCGCCCCGTTTCGCAACCCGGCGGTGTCAGCGCGGTGGGGGTTCGCAAAGGGGCCCTTGGTCACCTTGCGTTCACAGCCTCGGCCAGTGGCGCAATATCCACATCCCACACACTCTCCCACATCCTCCATCCCTCGCATCCCTGTCCACCATTCATTCCCTCCCATCTCTCATCTCACACACACACACCCCCAATCCGCTCTGTCATCACAAACATCTCTCTCCCTTTCCCTCGTATCCCTCGACTCTCCCGCCTTCCTTCCCAATCTCTACTCCCCCTCTGCGCGTTTCTCCCCGCATTGCTTCCCCTGTGTCTTACTCCGCACACCCATCCCACCCTCCCAGGCTACGCTCCGGTCACGGGGATGTGCCACGCCCTGCGGAGCTGCACGTTGAACCACGAGGATGGCTTCTCCTCCGCCTTCGTGGTGGCGCACGAGACCGGCCACGTGTGAGTGCCGCCCGCCACCTGTCCCGCCACATGCGTGTGATGTGTGTGTTAGACCTGACACATCTGTATTAGATCCGCGACATGGGTTAGACCTGATTTAGTGAGTGAAATTTTGGGTAATTAGTGAGTGGTACGTGAGGGAGAAAGTTGCTCGGTGAGTGGGTGAGTGGATATGTGAATGAATGAGTGGTTGAGTGAGTGTTTGATTAAGTGGGTCGATGGGTGAATGAATGAGTGGGTGAATGTGTGAGTGATGGATTAAGTGATTCGGCCTCCCCTAGGTCGACTCAGCCTCAAATGAGTACCTGGTGCTGTGTGTAAACACCATCACTGGGGAGACAAAGGCGGCCGGGGGTGGTGCTGCCCACTGAGTCCATTGTGTCTCGCGCCGGCCTCCATTGGTGCTCGCGAACAGCACTTGCCCCAACAGTCTGTTAAGGCTGTATGGGGGATCTTTGTCTTCGCAAAAGCGAGTAAGTAAATGCGAACGAGTGGCTCTCACGTACTCCAGCCGGCTCGCGGGGAGCCCGGCAAAGAGTCTTTATTGCCCCCCACGGTCGGCAAATTTGCACAGCTGTGGCCATAGTGGGTGCACACACACGCACGCACGGACACACGCACGCACGCACGGGCGCAATGATTCTCTAACCCCGAGCAACCGGCGTGGCGATTGACAGTGGCGCTACGCACGCTGCGGACGTGCGCGTACGCACGCGCACGTCCGCGTGCGAGCTCACCAGTGTGCGTGCGAGCTCACCAGTGTGCGTGCGAGCTCACCAGTGTGCGTGTGCACGTCTCTGTTCATGCTCGTGGAGGAGCGGTGGGGCGGCGGTTTTCGCATCGCGCTACGAACCCGGCGACCGGTAGTTCGATTCCCGGCAATGGCTAACATCCTTGGCGAGTGATATCTGAACCAGGTCCTAGGCTATCGCTTAGGTTGACTCGGCCTTTAATCAGTCCCTGGCACAGTGCGTAAGCGTCAGCCCGGGGGAGACAAAGGTGACCGGGTGCAGTGCCGGCCACACCACCCCCTCGTGCACCGTGGTCGCCAACAGCCCGTGACAGGCTACGTGGAGGTTCTTCGTCGTTATTTATTCATGCTCGTGCACATGCTTCTTTGGGTGCGCGTATGCCCATTGTATGCTTTTGCACATGCGTACGCTCACGCCCCGGCCACGTGTGTGCGTGTTCGTGTGTGTCCGTGCGTGTGCAGGCTGGGCATGGAGCACGACGGGCAGGGGAACCGCTGTGGGGACGAGACCAGCATGGGCAGCATCATGGCGCCGCTGGTGCAGGCCGCGTTCCACCGCTACCACTGGTCGCGCTGCAGCCGGCAGGAGCTCGCGCGATGCCTGCAGTACGACGCACGCACACGTACACAAGCACTCATGTTCGCGCACACACACACACACACACGTGTACGTTGCGTACTCATGTCCCCGTGTTCCTGTGTCCCTGTACCCCCGTGCCCCTGTCTCCGCGTGGTCACCCCCCCCACCCCTCCCCCCTCTCCACGCAGCTCGTACGACTGCCTGCTGGACGACCCCTTTGAGCATGACTGGCCGACGATGCCCGAGCTGCCCGGCATCAACTACTCCATGGACGAGCAGTGCCGCTTCGACTTCGGCGTGGGATACAAGATGTGCACGGCCGTGCGTACAGCGCTCACACACACGCACAGTCACACACTCGCACCTGCAACCCATGCTCGCACCACTGCCCCCAGAGAGCGGTGCACCACGTCGTGCCAATGCTGTGCATGGCCGTGTGCACGGCTTGTTAGAGCAGTACTCGCCCCTGGCCCAATTCTCCGTGCCCCTGCGGTGGAGCGGCCGATCCCTGCGGTGGAGCGGCCGATCCCTGCGGTGGAGCGGCCGATCCCTGCGGTGGAGCGGCCGATCCCTGCGGTGGAGCGGCCGATCCCTGCGGTGGAGCGGCCGATCCCTGCGGTGGAGCGGCCGATCCCTGCGGTGGAGCGGCCGATCCCTGCGGTGGAGCGGCCGATCCCTGCGGTGGAGCGGCCGATCACTGCGGTGGAGCGGCCGATCACTGCGGTGGAGCGGTTGATCCCTGCGGTGGAGCGGCTGACCTGCGGTGGAGCGGCCGATCCCTGCGGTGGAGCGGCCGATCCCTGCGGTGGAGCGGTTGATCCCTGCGGTAGAGCGGCTGACCCCTGTGGTGGAGCGGCTGACCCCGGTCCAAGAGTAGAACATTCCACTGGGCCCTGTTGACCGAATGCCGTGGGGGTATCGCGAGCCTCATTGCAACAATGTGCGTGTTAAATTAGTTCTGCTACACGTGCAAACCGTGACCTCGCGTTAAGTCGCTGTAACGCGCCGATAATGCGAAGGTATTTGCAGCGTTGGAAAAATTCCCTAATTATTATTTGTTGTTTTTAGACATCCTTTCCGAAAGCCATTATTATTTAGAAAAAAAAAGCGATGTGTCAGCGATGTATTTAGCTTCGTTTCGTTTTTTCCAGGACACTTTGTTAAATGTGGTCTTAGAAGTCGGGCAGCTCCAGATCCCCCTGACCACCCCGTGATTTTATCAGTACGGGGGTCCTCGCAATTATGATAATAATAAAATGTGTATGGTGATCCATTTATAGATACCTCATTGAAATTGGGAGTAGGAATGAGTTTTGGATTTTTAAAGCTCAGATTTGTAAGCAAATTTTTGGTGTCGAGATTGTGATCATTTACTTTGTTATGGTTTAGAGTTATGGGTCTTCAGGCCCAGAAAGTGACTCTTTGCCAAGTAAGACTGCTTTGAGGGATTCACAAATATCCACGTGGTCCACCAAAACCGTTGCTGCCACGGTGTTGGATCGCAGACCCTCACCACCACCTCCGCCCTGCTCAAATTGATCTTTGGGGGCCCACCCTTGTGCCGGTGACACCGCCGTGCCGAGCGGCGGTCCGTGGTGGCGGCGGCGGGCGCCACGCGGTGCTCCGCAGCCCTCTGGGTCTTCACACGATTTTTCCCCGTTTCGTTTATTTTCGTTCTTTCCGCATTTTCTGCTCGGCCGCAGTTCCGGACGTTCGACCCCTGCAAGCAGCTGTGGTGCAGCCACCCCGACAACCCCTACTTCTGCAAGACGAAGAAGGGGCCTCCGCTCGACGGCACGGAGTGCGCGCCGGGCAAGGTGGGGTCGCGTGCAGGGGGGGGGGGCGGCGAGGGTCGCCCCTCGGCCGGACACTGTCGTGTCCGCTGCATCATCGTCACCGTCATTGTCACCGTCATTGTCACCGTCACCACCCTCACCACCCCCGCGGTGTGCTGCTGCTGGGTGCCCTCTCCGTGTGTCCCCCCCCCCCCCCCAGTGGTGCTTCAAGGGTCACTGCATCTGGCAGACGGCGATCCAGCCTCTCCGCCAGGACGGCAGCTGGGGCTCGTGGAGCCGCTTCGGCGCCTGCTCGCGCTCCTGCGGCGTCGGCGTGCGCTTCCGCACGCGCCTCTGTGACAACCCCGAGTACGAGCACGGACACGAGCGTGAACACGGACACGAGCGTGAACACGAGCGTGAACACGAGCGTGAACACGAGCGTGAACACGAGCGTGAACAAGGACACACGCACACACGCACACACGCACACACGCACACACGCACGCGCGTCGCGTCCGAACCGCGCATCTAACTGGAGGCGGTCTCCGCGGCAGGCCGACGCACGGTGGGCGCGACTGCGCCGGCAAGAGCTACGAGTACCAGCTGTGCAACGTGGAGGACTGCCCCGGCGCGCACCACGACTTCCGCGCCCAGCAGTGCCAGCTGCAGAACACGCACTTCGAGGTGGCCGGCACGCGGCACCACTGGCTGCCCTACGAGCACCCCAACGGTACGGCCCGACCCGCACGATTGTTCGCTTGCCCGCCCACCCACCAAAACTACCGTAGTCACCGATTCCTCTGACCAACGTCGAGGACTTGGTCTCCACCTCACACCCCGGCTGTGTTGGGAGCCAGTCGAGGGGTTGTGTGGAGTAGGGGGGGGGGGGTGAGGAATCTGGCAGTGTCATCACCACTATCATCATCGTCGTCGTCACCGTCACCACCACCACCACGATCGACATGTGCCGCACACGTGTCGTCACGTCTCGTCGCGCCAGTCGCATCGGCGGAGCGGTGCGGTCGAGCGCTCGCATTCCGACGCCGTGCAGTCACATGACTCCTCCCCCCCCCCCACTCGCTCCCCCAACCCCCCCCCCCCCACCACCTCCCGCACAGAGCTGCAGCTGTGCGAGCTGCACTGCCAGTCCCGCGAGACGGGCGAGGCGGTCTACACGAAGCAGCTGGTGCACGACGGCACGCGCTGCTCCTACCGCAACCCCTATGGCGTGTGCGTGCGGGGGGCCTGCGTGGTGAGTGTGCCACGTGCGGCGCCGGGCTGGGGGATGGTGGTGGTGGGGGGGGGGGTGCACGCGGAGACAAAGATCTCCCGCGTTACTTCGACGGACCGCAGGGGCGCGAGCACGGTCGCCACGGTGCCGCGATTCGGAACCGGGTACTCATTTGAGTCGACTTAGGGGACTTGGTGTCGCTGCTGACGTTTGCCGTGGGTGGGAGGCAAAGTCAGATCACCCGGTCTAGCGTACTGCACGAACCACTCCGCTCCTCCCCTCGCTGGACACGAACAGAGCCACAGCAGCCAGCCTCCTTCTGCATTGAAAGCACGGCACGGCACGGGCCATTTGGCGTGAGCGGCGCCAGCAGCAGCCCCTCGTCTGACGCCGCTGCCCACCCCCGTGCCCTCCCCCCCTGCCCTCCCCCCTCGTGCCCTCCCATGCCTGCACGCAGACCGTCGGCTGTGACAAGGAGCTGGGCTCCAGCAAGCAGGAGGACAAGTGTGGGGTGTGCGGAGGAGACAACTCGCACTGCCGCACCGTCAAGGGCACGTTCACGCGCACGCCCAAGAAGCCCGGTGAGGCTCGCGACCCTCCCCCTCAAGCGCACCGCTCGTACGCAACGCTCATACCCACCGCTCGTACACACCGCTCGTACGCTGTGTGCCGGGTGCGGTGATATTTTCCGGGCGGTCAGTCGACCGCACGAGCCGGCACGCTTACTGAACGTGGTGACCAAAGTTGGATTCCCCGCACGGTGGACGAGGCTCCGGGCCCTGGGAGCGGCGGCTCCCACTCCAAGCCACCGTCACCCCCCCCACCTCCTCTCCTCTCTCTTCCCTCACTCTCCCAATCTCCCCTTTATCTCTGTCTGGTCCCACTATTCAAATCTCTCCCTCTTTCGCTCTCTCTCTGTGCCCCTTTCCCCCCCACCCCCCCCCCCACCCCCCCCACCCCCCCCACCCCCCTTGCGTCAATGGAAAGTACACCGCATGTGAAAGCCATGATGTCTTCTTGGAGAATAATGGATCACATTCCAAGTAAATAAAATACCAAAATACGAAACAAAACAAGCCAGATGTGGTGTCCCGGCTTGGAAGATACCCGGAAAAGCTGTTGGCTGCATCTGAAAACCTCGCAAAGCAAACAACAGAACTTGTGTGAACAGAGCCATTGGGAAGAAATCTCAACGCTTCGACGACAGAGACAGACAGACACACAGATAATAAACACATACATACAAAGACAAAGCCCCTCCCCCCCCGTATGGCCTTAACAGACTGGAGGGGCAAGTGCTGTTAGTGAGCACCTATGAAGGCCGGCACGGTACACGAGGGGGTGGGTGGCCAGCACCACGCCCAGTCACCTTTGTCTCCCTAGTGGCGATGTTTACTACACGCTGCACCAGGTACTCATTTGAGGCTGAGTCCACCTTGGGGAAGCCCAGGACCGGTTCAGATAATCGCCACCGATGTTGGCCGTGAGTGCAGCGCGCTAACCGCTATACTACCACAGACACACACACACGGACAGATACACAGACAGATACACAGACAGATATTCATAGAGATGGACAGAGGTAGTGACACACAGATAGACGGAAAGGTGGACAGAGAGAGAGAGAGACTGGCAAATAAACATAATAAACACAGTTGCTAACAACAGGCCCACAGGCCCAAAATGTCAAGCGGTCAGCAACAAACAGTGCTCTCGAAAAGCGCTGACAGGATTCTCCAGAGTAACGGACCTGGGGAACAGTGGATCACATTCCAAAGGGACGTCATGGAGCACACGCATTGCGACGCACTTTCCGTAGCCGCGGGGAGGAGGGGTGAGAGGCACGGCGAGAGGGAGAGATAATGAGAGGGCGGGAGAGAGACTGGGAAAGGAAGAAGAGAAACCGTGAGTTTTAGGGCGCACGGGGGAACGCGAGCCGCGTGCCATCGTTGAGCGAGCTGGCGTGGGCAGGGGGTGTTAATCGGCGTACGCAGCGCCCGCTCGACCTCCTGTCACTCTTATAGCACTGCGGGCGCTGTTCCCCTGCACGTCACTCAGTCCAATGTCGTGGACCCGGCGTCTCCTGCACACACACCGGCTGTGTGCCCTCTCGTCCACCGCAGGCCACAGCAGCTCGCCTGCTCGCTCGCCCACTCATCCACTCATGCACTCACTCACCCAGTAACTGACTCACCCACCAACTGACTCACCCAGTAATTGACTCACCCACCAACTCACTCGCTCGCCACACCGCAGAGGTCACCTCGCTTCTCTTTCCACCTCTTCCCTCGCACCGCTCCTCTCTGGAATTCCCTCCTCACGTTGTCATCGTCTCTCTACACCCCCCCCCCCCCCCCCCAAGCTCATTTCTGAAAAACCTTGCTCAGAGCAAAACCTCCGTCAACCCTGACCTATTACAACTTAGATTGCGCCATTTGGTACTGGCCGCTTTGAAAATCAACCCCTGGCCGTGACGGCGCCGTGAATGTGACGGCGCTGTGGCTGCACCTCCGCAGGTCTCCTCAAGATGTTCGACATCCCCGCCGGAGCGAGGCACCTGATGGTGAACGAAGCGGAGGCATCGCCCCACAACCTGGGTAACTACCCCCCCCCTTCCCCTATGCCCGGCCATTATGAACTCAACACTCAGGTTCGATGGGTACGGGTGGAGGTGCCATTGTCATGTTTGCGAGTGCAGCCCTGGTGCTCCCTGGTGGTCACCCGGAGTTTGTGGCTCCGACCTGGGCACCGGTCGACCTCGGTTCACCCCGGGGGGGCCCTGGTGCTAGCAGACACGGGTCCTGTGTCCGCATTCCCACGGCCCCTCTCCGTGGGGGGCCTGCCCCCCCCCCCCCCACCGGCGGTGGCTATGGCCAACACTGCGGTGGCTGACCCACAGTGGCGGTCGGCCACGTCCCGTTCCGAAAATATTGACCTGGGCCCCGTTGGAGGAATTGCCGCCACGCCGAGTTACTTTTAGAAGTCGGGCATGGGGGTTTTTTTTTTATTTCAGCCCCGTTTACAAAAAAAAATCCATAAATCTCGAGATGTTTTCCCATAGTTTTTTACTGACGTTTCACATTCCTAAGCCTAATTTTGTCTTCGTGCTTTTTTTAGAAAATGATTTTCGCGTTTGCTTTCAAGTTAAACCCCTACCGGGTGCACACATGCACGCGTACGCTCGCATGTTCACGCACACAAGGAACCTCTTCAATCAATCGGTAAACACTTAAAGTCAAAACAGAATCTTTGTTCAAATAAGCAAAGGTCGGCCACTTAACTTTATTGGGCAGCCTTTATACGCTGGTGACATTTCCACACTTCCATGGCAGGGGGCCAGTCATTCCATCATAATACCGTACTACCACTGTCGACTGCAAGCAAAGTGGTAAACATTTTATAATCCCGATTTAAAGCTTTCGTGACTGCAGGGATTCATCTTCTTGGTTCTTTCGGTAAAGTCACGTAGAAGGGAAATTATAAAATAATAAAACATAATAAAATAATTATCACGACCTGAGGACGGCTGCTTGCGTTGTGGCCGAAACGTCGTGAGAATTATTTTATTATGTTTTATTTTTATTATTTCCCTTCTATGTGACTTTACCGAAAGAACCAAGAATATTGTATAATCCCTGGAGGGGCGATAGACCTTGTGACCCCCCCCCCGCCCCGACTTGCGAGGACGCTGCTCGACGTTAGTGCCGAGCGGCGCTGCCACGAGCCCCTTGCCACCGCCGCTGACGTCCCCGTGCCGGTGCGCGTCCGTGCCGCCGTTCCAGCTGTAAAGAACCAGGCGACGGGGCAGTTCGTGCTGAGCGGGAAACCGCGGGAACGCGAGCGCAGCCCCCGCACCTTCATCGACCTGGGCCTGGAGTGGGACTACTCCGTGGAGGACGGCAAGGAGTTCCTGCGCTCCACGGGGCCTCTGCCCGAGCCCATCGTGGTGCTGGTGAGTGCCGGGTGGTAGCCGATCGAGCGGTGCCAGCTTCCAAAATCTCACCGCCTCGGTTTCCACCCAGCGCTGTAGATGGGCGCACCGCAGTTAGTCGGCAAGTCGCGTGTGGTGGGGGAAAGCGTGGGTGCACCCAACATTTACAACACGTCTCGTTAATGTGGAAGAGTAGGCCAAATTACCCTTTACAGGCCCTCCCAGTAAACAAACTCATTGGGCCAACGTTAGTTCATCGGTTACAACCACGTGCCAAGATTACCTTGGGAATGGAATCTCAGGGCTGCACCAATACCTTTTCCTTCGGCTCCTGGTCAGATCCTGCCCCAAGACAACGATACCAAGTCGAGCCTCACGTACCGCTACATCATCCACGAGGACTCGCTGCCGCCCGTCGGCAACAACAACGTCCTGCAGGAGGCCGAGGCCTACGAGTGGGCCCTCAAGAGCTGGACGCAGTGCTCCAAGCCATGCGGCAGCGGTACGACGGTGCTCGCGGACGCGGCGCGCACACACAGGGGGCCGGGAGAGCCGGCCCGGATGCGGTCGCCACCCTTCCGAAATCGGCAATGCAGCGGGAGGGAGCCGCCGCTGTGGTGTAACGGTCGTCGCGCTCGACTCGCGATGCAGAGTAGAGGATAACGGTTCCGCACGCAGGGTTGATGTCACAAGCGGTGGGCCGAACCGTTCATGGGAGCGAGCGTGCGGTGATGCTGTCAACGTGTGCGCTGACCTACCACAGGTATACAGTACACCAAGTATGGCTGTCGGCGCAAGTCCAACATGAAGATGGTGCACAAGAGCTTCTGCAACGGCAGTCGCAAGCCCAAGCCCATCCGGCGACGCTGCAACCTTCACGAGTGCACCCAACCCAGGTGGGGCGCACGGCCCACCCGCTCGCCCAGTTCCCCACCAAGTTAGCTACCGACTCGCCCACTCACTCGCAGTCACCCATCGACCGGTCGGCCCTCCAAAAGACGGCACACCGTGACCCCAACCCCCGGAGGCTGTCGCGCGACCGGTCATTCAGAAGAATAAGAAGATCGCTCATCGTCTTATTGAGCCGCCGTTTTATTGTTCGGGCAGGTGGGTGGCGGAGGAGTGGGAGCACTGCACCAAGACGTGCGGCAAGGCGGGCTACCAGATGCGCACGGTGCGCTGCGTGCAGGCCATGCACGACGGCACCAACCGCTCGGTGCACAGCAAGTACTGCACCGAGGAGCGGCCCGACACTCGGCGCTCCTGCAGCCGCACGCCCTGCCCCGCGCAGTGGCGCACGGGGGCCTGGTCGCAGGTGACGCACGCACGCACGGGGGACACGTGGGGTGGCCGAGGCCTTTGGGGAACAGAGACGAAACATGACGGCGGGGACACGCACGACGAAAAGCATGTGGGCGACGTGGAGCTGGTCATACCGCCCCTCCTGCCTTGGGCTCCAAAGGCACTCGCCCCGACGGTCACCTAACGGCTACGCGGTGGGGGGGGGGTGTTTCTGTGCTCTTGTGCTGGACCCGGCAGTGCTCGGTGTCGTGCGGCGAGGGCATCCAGCAGCGGCAGGTCCTGTGCCGGGCGAGCGACAACTCCATCGGCTCGTGCGACGGGGACAAGCCGGACGCCGTGCGAGTGTGCCGCCTCGTTCCCTGCGCAGGTGAGAGGCCCCCGCACACCCACAAACAGGCAGGGAGTGGGGCGAGTTCCTCAAATCAGGCGTGCCCAACAGGCGCGTGCCGACGCGTACCTGACAGCGACCGTCTGCTCAATCCAAATCCGCTGGCGATGTTGACCCAGGTCCCAATCGTCGCACCCCCAGCCGCTATTGGGGCGGCAACAATGTTTACCGGGTTGGGGCAGTTCAGCATACCATGTCCTGCACAATAATAAACTACGGGGGCGTTTGTGGTTGCATAAGACTTTGCTTCTGAAGCTCGGTCCTTGGCAGACGACGCTAAACAGAGAGTTTCCGAGCGGATGTCGCACTCGCAATCGGCACCGTCAGGGGAATGCGTTCCATGTGGACTCGCGGAGCACGTTGCCACCTCAGGAGTCAAAGTTGATCTCGTTCACCGAGTGAGAACTTAGAGACACTTCTATAGTGTCTCATTCGCAAGACCTGGGCCACCAAAATGACAAGAGTAAATAAAAAAAGGTACAGCGATTAAACAAATACAAATGTATGCGAAAAAACAACCGTCACGATAGAAATAAACATTGCACAAACATCACCCCGTACCTTAAGTCTGCGCGGTCAAATCGTTTTTTATACTTATCATAGTACGATGACAATGAAGTTCGATACATTACAGAAGCATGAAACAGATACCTTGTGTCTATTTTACTCGTGTGTGAACAGACCATGGAGTATAGGAGAAATGTTTCCGAATACTGGGAATTGCGGTGGCAAAACCCACACACGCGCACTTTTCTTGCCATGAACACCACTGACCACTCGGCCATGGCCACCGTGCCAGCCAAGCCGTGGCCGCACTTGGGCAATACCGGATGCCACGTGGAGCGTCGCGCGCCAGACAATCGCCGGAGCGGAAAATCTCGTGCCCTCTATTCACTGGCTCAAGGTCACGAGCGTACGAGAGACAACGGTTTAAAAAAGTTGTATTTTTGTTCACGGCCGGTTATTTCCGTCCCCCTCCAGCGTGCCCATTGTTTAATAAAAACCCATTCCGCCTTTGCCAGCTGCGATACACTTGTCACAGTTTGAGCACAAAACATGCTTTGGGAATTTGGCAACAGTAACCGAAAAAAAAAACACAATTTCTCAATCGTGAATCATTTGTTTTTCACGTGGCAGGCGGGTGGCTCTGGAATGAGCCACAGTGTGGTGGAGGGGGTGGGGAGGGTGGCTGCCTCCACACACGTCATTTCTTTGCAGAGTATCTTCGTCACAATTGAATAGTGGGCAGCCACAAACAGCGCTGCGGGTGTCATAATGAGTCATTTGCCAAGTTCGGTATTTGCGCCCGGTTCTCATAACACGATGAGGCCGCAGCACCTCCCATCAGCAGTGTTGTCTACGTACGGTGCGAAATAAGTTCAACATACAGGATGATGATGATGAACGACGATTGAACATTGATGTCCACCAGACCAGTTCTGCTCTCCTCACGCCCACGTGCCGCCCACATGTGTGCCGCATGTGTGCCCGTCGTGCACGGCGCGACCAGTGACCCCGTGTGGTCTGTCGTGGCAGGGAAGGGTGGCATGGCCCAGGCCGAGACGGCGGTGCAGAGGAAGCCGCGCATCACGTGGCTCTCCCGTCCCGACCCGGAGAGCCCCATTCACAAAATCTCACCAAGTAAGTGTTTCGCACCGATGGCAGCACCAACTGTTCTCGTGTGTCGCTCCAAGGGGCCACAGCAGAAATCGGTACCACCCCAAGGTAGCGAACGTGAGTGAGGTTTGCGTGTTTAAACCAGACGCAAGAACTTAAGAGACCAGAAAAGTCTCATTCGCAAGTGACTTGGGGGTCACCTATATGACACGAGCCAAATTAATACAAACTTTGGGTCGTACCGATTTACTTGTGACCCCACCGATTTCAAAAAGTTCTCAATTCGCTGTTATTGGTGATATTTCATTACTCAGAGTGGGGTTGCCACAGTCTCATTTTTTAAGTGCTTTGCCATAATATTCCATTCCTCAGGGTTTGCCAATTGTGAAAACATTTGAGCCTTCAAATCTCAACTTTATTTGGGTACCGTGCCGCCAAGTCCATTTAATTCTGGGTTCATTCTGTTGTATTTATTACAATAACCCCTTCTCTTAAATGATCGTGGTGGCGCACATTTGGCGTTGGAAGAGCCGGTTGCCAGGTATGTCCGAGGCGCCATTATCTTGGTCAAAGCGCCATTTGCGTTACGACCGCAGGGAGCCAAGTTGAGTGACCCCCACGGCAAAAACGAGTCGGCTAGTGACCTCTGAAAACCGGCCAAACCGATCAAAAGCGCTGCCGAAAAACCTGGGAAGGAAATGAAACCAGACAACAAAGGGCGATTTGGCTATTCCGTCGGCTTGCGTAATATAGTTCCTCAGACAAACGCGTGCTGGAAAGCGTTGCGGATTCCGTGCGCAAGCAATGAACTTATTTGCGTTGCGTCTTCTATTTAAAGCGCTTTTCGGAAAAAACTATTGCAATCACATACGCTTGCCACGTTTTTATTTATTTTACCTGGTGCAGAAAGTATCGCTGTCAATTACAATGAGGCCAGGATGAAACGGACAACATGAAAGGGCTGTGGCATTGGCGCACAAAAACGAATGCACACAACCCGCCCGTCATGAACGCTGCCTTACGCCAGCAAAAGTTTTAAAGTAAGGCCATAGCCTGAAAAGAAACGTCACGATAGTTCTTTTTTTACAAGGCAGCATTAATGATTCATGTGACTTTTAAACATTCACCTGTGGTGATTCACTTGAACCAAAACATATGGCAACTCTGCTTGTGTTGAAGGAGGTACAGGATGTGAATCGTCTCTTAAAATCCATTTCCTGCACCGCCGCCGCACGCAAAGTCAACAACGCGAAGTGCGTAAAGACCAGATGACCCGGAACGCACGTGGAGGGTCGTTCCACGGTGCGCAGAGGGCCGGGCCTGGGGCAAGGCACCACTCGCCAAACAGACTGCACAGCTTGTGGGCACCACGGAGCCCAGTGCAGCAACACAACACGTGTTGCTGCACTGCACTTCTGGGCTCCCACGTCTAGGCTCGCTCCCTTCCCCAAACCTCACTGACCAGCATGAGGCAGGCAGTGTATACACATCAGGGGCGTCACCTTGACCCACTCCATTTCCCACTCAAGTGAATTTGGCTTTGTATTGATTTATCGGTTTGCAGCCCTCAGCCACTGGAGGAGACTCCACATTCTTAGGGCGGGGATGAGTCCATCCGTAGGGCGACCACCTCTGTCGACATTTGGCAACTCGCACTTAAGTTTAACGGAGCCAAAAGTTACGCAAACGGTGCCCCTCCCCCTCCCCTCTCTCTCTGCCGCAGAAGAGCCATGCCAGGGCGACAAGTCCATCTTCTGCCAGATGGAGGTGCTGGCGCGCTACTGCTCCATCCCCGGCTACAACAAGCTGTGCTGCGAGTCCTGCAGTAAGCGCAAGGCCTCCTCCTCCTCCGTCACCACCAAGCCGGGCGAGCCACGGGGCGACCGCCCGGACCCCACGCTCTCCCCGCTCGACGCGCCGTCGTCCGAACACGGCAACGCCGCGGCCGCCGTCCCCGGTGCGGTGGGACGCCCGGGACCCGGGGCGCCGACGACGGCGGACGAGTTTTTGCGACGGCGGGACACGAACGACGACGGCTACACGGAGGAGGACTTCGAGCCGGTGCAGATCGTGGAGGTGGTGGCGCCGCCGTGGGGAGAGGGAGACGGCCACCGCCGGGAAGGAGGAGAGGACGGGACGGCCGACGGGCCACGCGGCCAGACATGAGGACCCTCCCGCCGGCCCGGCCGCCCCCCCCCCCCCCCCCCCGGTTTGCGAACGCCGAATTGCCTTCCCTGCGGTCGCGGGGAGAGACGGGCACGCTCGCGTCGCACGTTTGTCGAAAACGAGCACTTTTGAGGATACGACTTATTCTTCTTCTTCCGTCACCGGCCATCCATGCCGCCGCAGCCCGGGGGCAGCGCGTGGATCATGTGCGCACCGCTGGACACTGGAGTGAGCGTTGGATCACTTCACGGCGCGCGCCCCTGGCTTCAACGACCATCTCAAACATTTCAATATCCCCCCTCTGCTTCTAGCTCTGGACTCCGTTCCGCTTGCTGTGGTTTATTATTTTTATTATTCTCAGCATTAACTTTTTATTGTAGAAGTGGACTTTTCTCCACCCCCCCACCCCCTTGTCCAGTTAAGTGGACCCGTTCACTTTGAATTTGCACAACCACAACCGCCCCCCCCCCTACCCCCACATGGCATTTTCACAAAACGCAGGCATTTAACAATTAACACGAAATTCATCCCGTTAGACGTGTACAATTAACCAGTCGTGTTGGCAGGGGGGGGGGGTAGTGGAAAGAAGGGCCACTAAGCAGAATGTGTTTCGCATTAGGGGTCATTCTCAAGCCAATTAAGCACTGTACATACCTCTCACACGTCAGTATTTGCGCAATCCGCAACGGCCGCGTGCAGAACCCGTCCCCGTGCGTTTGGGAATGGGGGGGGGGGGAGCGGCGCTCGAGTTTGTAGTTTGAAAGTTTCGTTTTGCCTTGGAAGCTGCACACAAACGGTTCATGTTAACGTGAAACACTCGAGCAACGCCATTTGAGACTTGTATAGTACGTGTACATATATGGAACAAAGCAGAGCGATACTATTTATTGGCCTCTTGTCGTTAGCAAGCTACAGGTTTTGTTTTGTAATAAGCTGCTTTAGTGTAACTAAATGATTTTTTTTTTAAAGCACCACCTCAGTTGTATTCCTGTGTATTGGCAGCAAGTGTAAAGTATTCAGGGAGGGCTCCCCAAAGCGCACGTTTTCTCTTCGTCTTTAGCAGTTTTTAACCCTACGCCGCTCCTTTTGCACCTTATTTAAAACGTCCTCTCCCGAGCTGGAGCTGCAGGCACAAACGGAGAAGCCGTCGACGGAAGAGCCCGCCGGGACCGATCCGTGCCGAGCGTCGGCGAGAGCCGGGACCCGGTTACGTCACGTGATGTAAATAAAAACTTCATGCAGATGCACGCCGCGTGCTTGTCCAGCTGCGTCGTGCGCGGGAGGCGCGGTTGCGGCGAACGCGTTGGCGTTCCGCGTTTTTCCGACTTCGCTCGGGGTTTTTCCCACTTCTCCCCCACCCCCCTGGCCATCCACGCGGTCTCCGTAGAGCACAGCGGCTGAGCAGGGGCATTGGGACTGTGACAGGGTGACGGACCGCTGCCAGTGGGTGCAGACGCGCGGGCTCACTGGTTGAGACTCCGTCCCAAGCGCTTGTCGTAGACCAAGGCGGTTTGTGGGCAGCAGCAGCAGCGGCGCCGGCGTGCACGCACAACACACCAGCAGGCGTAACGACGACGACAGGGTGCACAATAAAGTTCGAACGTGCTTTTTAAATCAAGGCTACGGAAACCTCAAATGTGTATGATGGTTACATTACGCTGGACACACCGGGGGTACACTTAGGGAGGGGGCTCGGTTAACTGCCCGGTGAACTGTCGCTGCCAACCAGGAGAGAGAGAGTGGAGGTGGTGAGAAGGGGGAGAATAAAGGCACAGACTTCCCAGCAGAGGAAAACGGCCTCGGCTCAAGTGAACTTTGGCCAAAAGCAGTTTCAACTCGCAGCCACTGCCATCACCACCACGCCCCCCCCCACCAAACCTACATAACGACCAGCAGTGACATCTCGATGGCCACCTGCAGTGTGGAGCATTTATCCATAATACCAAGCGTACCAATCATCACTATTATTGTTACCGTTTATTCACCACAGATTGGTCCGAGTTTATTTTATAAATCTTGGATGTCAGGTCAGGCACACTAAGCACATTCACCACCCTTGGGTAAAGGTCATAATACTAAAGACATTTTCCGCAGGGATTTAAATAAATCTTATTCAATAGCTAAGGTTTTTATTGGGTTAGATCGCGTAAATGTGTCATTAAACCCGCCACAGCCAATTATTAAGGTTTGTCACGTAAACAGAACATGCTAATTCGTTACGAGTTCAGCACACCGGTGTGTTGGAGAGTGAACCCACGACATTTACAATTAGTGACATTTCACCGGTGATTACAACCAGCCTCATCAGGTGACGGCCAGAGTTGTGGAGAAATCCTTCATATACATTACAATGCATATCTCTAGTATTGGTGTTATTCACAGTTAATCAACGTACATAATGTATGTACTGTACATAATGTAGGGGAGCATTTATTTCACCGGCTCGGCGTGACGGCGCAGTCCGGAGAGATGTCCGCAGTGCCGCTGACGGCGCCTCGTGGCACCGATCCGACATCCCACCACTCTCTCGGTCCTCTCCGTCACACGGCGTGGCACGGCGTGGCGGTTTAAGCTTCAACTTTGTTTGTTCATTGTGGAAGTAAAAAAATGTTGTGAACGGTTCCCAAAGGGTGAAAATGAATGACCACCACCACTGGTTCCAACGTTGGGTATTTTGGTTCAATTACGGATACCCGGTGATTTAACCACACATCGTTGCGTGCAAAAACACGGGCGTAACGTTTCAAATCGCTTATTCAGCTTTCGGATCCGTGCATCCAACTGGGACGGAGGATATTTAAATTCCTTAGATCTGTATATGCCCAGGTTCGTTCAAAAGACCCACCCCCCCGCGACCAATGGGAGACCTACAATGCACCACCGGACAGAAAATCGTCGGAACCAGAATCGTGACAATTCATGGAGTCTCGATGGGGGAAAACATGTTCCTGGATTAATGCGTAACCCTCAACTGAGTGGTGAGGGGCACCTACGGCCTGCGGCCACTTGAGGGCCTACCGCTTGGGAACTGCTCGCAAACCATATTCGTCTGCCACCGCACGCATCTTAGTTGCGCTAATCAGATACTGGAAGGGGAGAATATTTTTTAATCTGGCAACACTCCACTCCGTCACTCGCGTCATCGGTAAGGGCCTCTCGCGGCGACGGGCGCGACCGCGCTGTGTGCGTGTGTGTGTCTGCGCGGACGTGTGGTAGCCGCCAGCGTGATATCAAAGTTGTAGTTGGGCCTCCGTAGGGAAAGGTTCCCCCCCCGGCACACACCCCGTACACTACAGTTCAAAACGCGCGGATTGTGCAAACAGGGAGGCGCTCGTAAGTGGGACGACACGCGCCGGGAACAACGCGCCCCGATGATCGGCCGTGTGGAAGAGGGCAGACTGGAATCGGAACGAGGGATAGACGGGTGGGTCAGAGGTGGAGAAGACGTGGAAGGACTCGTCACGAGGAGATGAAGAGGGGAACAGAGAGTGAGAATGATCAGAGGGAGGAGTTACAAACAACTGGCAGAGGGAAAGGAGAGAAGCAGCCTTCGTGGAGCAAGAGGAAGTGGTCGGCAGTTAGGGAGAGTGTCGCAGGGACCGTCCGACCGTTGACCTCCGCGCGACCCCTCAATGTGCGTGCCACCGCGTCGCGATCTACCGCCGTTCCCGTCAAATAAGCACGCGGGGCATCACAAGTTTTATGCATGAACTTCTTCCACGTTTAATGAACATGAAGGTAAATAGTTTCACATTTAAGTGTCTTGTCTACACAGAGCAGAGTCCCCCTAGAGGCCGACTCTTAAACTCAACGTTCGCCAACTCATGTGTGTGTAAACGGTACATCATACACCGCTTCAACAATCTAAAGTTAAATGTTAAATCCTTAACCTTCCATCCATCCCTCCCTCCCTTTCCTTGCGCTACGTCATCTTTAATCTGGTTATAAGTGAGCAGGATACTCCACTCGAATCGTATGCAACTTATCTCAGGCGAATAACATCAAGGGTGCCCTCCCCCCCTTTTGCCGTTCCCTGTTCACTCTCCCTCTCTCTCGCTACAGAGGGGGTTCCTCGACTCACTATTTTCGTCTGGGCAGCTGAAAATCTGTGAAGCCCGTCTTGTGCTAGAAATTCAGCGGGGGGGGGGGGCAACGGCACGGAAAAAAATTGAACCGAATCACTGGTAACTTTTCGTGTAAAATTAAAAAAATAAAATAAAATAACAAATGAAAAAAAATAATGTTTTTTTTGCAGATGTCAGGACAAACAGCAGCAAACTAAAACCATCAAAACCCTGGGTGGTTCCACGTACAGGCTTTGTTGAAGTAACCGGCGGAGAATGTGCTCCTGTATGCGTCGTCGGAGAGAGACGGGCGGGGATTTGCGGACAGCAGTGGGAAAGCTTTCGGGGCTTTTTGTTTATCTTTATCCCATGTGGTTGAGGTGCAGGCTGTTAACGTGGGCCTCCCAGGGCCCCGGCCACATCTAAAGCCGTGAACACAAACATGCCAATCGTTAACATGCGAACCCCCACCCCGGCGTTACGGTCAGGCACAAACACTGCAAAGCGACGGCTTGTGAAACGCACGGAGGCGACACGAAAAATCTGTCTCGGCGAATACGTCATCCATTTTGTTTTCCGGGCTCCGCCGCGCGGGCGGAGTGCATGCCTGGGCAAGGGCAGCTGGGTGAGCGGCTTGCGGCCAGCAGGGGGCCCCAGCAGGCCTGGGTTTCACTCCCTGCCACCGAGCACCAGAAACTCGCTCGCCCGCTCCCCACTCGCTGGGCAGGCCAGTGCCCTCAGGGCAGCGGTGGTGGGGGGGGGTGTTAATTAACTTCACGAACGCCCTGTGCTTGCTATTAACGCAAGTGCGTGTGTGCACACTGCTGGCGAATGGGTCCAAAGGCACTCGCACGCATGACCAGGTGCGTGTGTGCGTGTGTGTGTGTGTGCGCGTGTGTGCGCGTGTGTGCGCGTGTGTGCGCGTGTGTGCGCGTGTGCACGCGGGCGCGAGTGTGGGTGCCGCTTGCCTGCTGGTTCTGGGCCGCGCCGGCGTCGGCCGGGTTCACCACCTTGAGGAGGGGGCTCCAGTTGGGGTCGGCGCCCCCCGGGCCGGGCCCCCCTCCCCGGGGCCCCCCAAACACGCCGGGCATCGAGCCGTCCATCATGGGCATGCCCGGGCGGATCAGGGCCCCCCCGTACAGCGACATGGGGAGAGTCTGTGGTGAACGCAAATGAATGAATGTCGAGCTGAGTCGAGTGGTCAACAGAGTTGATTATTTGACTTCACTGCCGTGAACTACTTTGTTCACGGTTCGTTAAAATTACACGCTGGATTTGGGAATGAAAATAAAAATTTGTTTTTTTAAACCAGGTTATGAAAATAAATTAGGTAACTATACCACGGTCAATAAATTGAGTTCTGAAATCATTCTCAAAAGGATGTTTTGACAAAAGCGAAATGACTGTGCGGCTGAAAGGACGAAGGAATTGCAGCTGTCATACGTCAGCTGTGTGGCGCGTCAGCTGTCGTGCGTCAGCTGTCGTACGTCAGCAACACTTTTGAGGATAAGGACTGGCATTTTAAGGGCACTTAAATGCCCTAGAAACTCAAGGTACATTACATCAACATCTCAAGCGAAGCATTCCAAAGGCCAGCTTCACAATTATATTTTCAGCCAAGGGAACCCCCCTGATGGCAGCCGCTCCTTTGTAGCACAAAGTGACTCAGCATGGGTCAATGTTGTTTTCAGTTATTCCAATTAAGCGATTAGAATTTTTTGTCAAAAATGGACCTTGATTTTGCCAGCACACATGGCAGTTAGGAAATAATTACATTTGGCAGTCGCCACCATTTTCGCTTGACACACCACGCAGCCTTACCCCAGCCTTTTGAAAGTCCATGTAGTTCCCTGGAATCGGCTGGAAATTCGAAGGGTTGATCACTCCAGTGTTGTCCCTCTCCATCGGCTGGTGCTGGTTATAGACGCAGGGGTCGATAGGCGGGCGGTGACGGAAGACGGGCGTCTGCGACCAGTCCGACATGTTCTCTGCGAGAGGGTCAAAGGGCGCGGAGACACACCGGTCAGCGGACTTCCTCCACGCGCGATGGAGAGCGCGACCGAGGGGGCGCCCCTAAGCTGGGCTCACCACCTTGTCGCGTGTAAACGTGGGCCCTCTCCGGCCAACTCTGCCGCAGTCCTGAAAGAGACGGGGGTCAGGACAATTGTCAAGACACAGCGGCA